CAATCAAACGTACTTTTCGTCGAGTAACGAACTTTTCAGTCTCGAAGCACTTAACTTTACATGACATGTTTGTTTACGTCTCATCCTTAATGCAAAGATGGATTCCGTCACGTGTAAAATTAGGTATTTTTAAGTGTGTACTGCAAATGGAGAAGTAGATAACGCAGGTCATTGTGGATGCAAAAACCTCTACCCAAACACTCAGTTTTAACATCGGTAAGTTTTATGGCACCTGCAAAAACCAATGAATAATTAGGCACCACTGTCGTAAACTGATCGCCATAAAACCGCATCCTCTTCTTGCACATGTGAAAGCAAATTAAAACGATGGAATAATTCTACCGTCGGAAGTCACTTGCAAATGATCGTCATACACAAGTTGCTTATCGCCATCAGAGTGGTGTGAAATAATTATTTTTGATTGTTCCCTTTGCCATATATTTTACGCTCGGCCGTTTTCAGAAGTACGGAGATTATTTAAATAATGAGGAAAGCAAAAGAAATTCTATACTTTGGACATGATTACCGGAAAATGTTAAGGAGCATCAAAATTGCAAGCTATAAAATCGGTATTTTTTCGTGATTTTGTTAATTTTTCAATGCTGGTTAGTTATGTAATGTTAATTGACGTAAGTTTATGTGTTTTCAATGTTGCTGCTGATTTTAAATTTAAAAAGTTCCAGATTTGCATTTCAGAATATCCTCAAGTATACCTAGAATCATATTTGTTTTGAGTGACCTAAATATTGAAAAAAAAATACCAGGCACTGCCCGAATTCATGTATTGAATTTTTAAATGTATGCAAAACAAATGGCATGAACATCAAATATAAGTCTTCTTACAACGGAATGTAGCATACAGCTGTTTTTTTTTCCAGAATTAATATTTTTGTATGAATCTTTCATAAAATGATTTTCTAGAAAATTGAGCTAGCATATACTTATCTAAATTGATTAAAAACCCACCCGGTGACTCCATTGCAGATTCTGTTCATGCGGTGGAACATTACAAATTCTGTGTATTATTTTATAGAAATCTGAAATAGAATCTTACATTTCCCGGTTGGGTGTTATGTTATTGAACCATTACTTAATATGTAGTTGTACTCACAAAACACCAAAATTAATAAAAGATTAAAATAAGGAACATGAGAACAAAATACATTCTTTCCGATTTCAAATACCATTCATGCAGCATTGCTAGCTAACGACATCGATTTAGACCATTTTGCTCTAAGGCCATTGATCCGCCATGTTTTTTTTTAATTCACAATAAAACAAACAGGGGCGTGATACTTCTCAAGGACCTCCTTCCAAATCTGAACCGCCAAGCTTCTGAAACGTTCCCATTTTACCATAACATCGAACCCCAAGCAGATTTATGAATATCGTATTTCCTCTTCCAACAAATGCCTACAATGCAAGCAGCGGTAAGGTAAATACACGTTGAAATGGTTCCTCTTCGTTACGGTTTCGAAGACCTTAGCAGCATAAAGAATATCATATTACCCATTCAATCAAAAACCTACAATTAAAGCAGCAGAAGGATAAATGGTCATGAAAGTATGCGCAAAAAATCCAATTGAACTTTTTTCATTTCGATAAAAATGGGAGTGAGGGTTCCTAACGATAAAAATGTGTGACAACGTTTTGCATAAAACGTGTACCCATCCACAGGGTGCCCTCATTCGAAGTATTTAAATCTATCAAACTTTGAGATTTCATTGAACCGAAAGTCGAAGACTGAAAAAGGAAGTTTTCAATAATTTGATGAGTCCATTCGCACAGCAAAGGAGAGGGGAGCGGTGTTCTAGGATTCAACCCAATATCAACATTGTAGTCAATTTGAGCAATTGTTGTTATGGTCCATTTTTCGCCCAATTCTTTCATATGAAAAATATCGAAATTGAAATTGTTTGTTCAAAATCTTTTCATTGACATCCCCGGTTCATCCGGCTGCTTCTATCTACTTCGGGAAGCTTCATTCTCTGTTTTTAATTTTTTTCAAGAAGTAAATTTTCCCCGGACATTTTTCCATCTTTCTGTAAAAGCTAGCTCCAGTTTTATTATGATGTTGTCCCAAAAGCACATTATATTTTCCAGGATGTTGATCTACTGAAAGATTCTGTCAGCGTTCCTCGGATGGTTCTTCCACACTTTCCCCGGAAGTTTTGTTTTACCTAGGGTTACGTATTTGTCGAAGGTACGGAGCATCATTGCACCGAAGCAGCGTCACGAAATAATGAAAAGTTTTAAACGATTGGATGAAAAGTTTTAAACGGATGGATTTGCAATATCTACGCCTCTTTTAAATGAGATTTGAGATGATATTTGATTGATATTATTATTTTAATTTGCTATCAATACTTAACTATTGCAATTGATCAAACTTGTTTACTTGCCACTACTATGTAGAAAGACATAGCCGATAGCAAATCCCTAACACGATGTTAAGCATCACTAAATATGTAAATCGTTAACTTCACGCAGTAATACAAACATGATTAGTTAAAGTATAAAAAGATTTTTTAAAAATGTTAAAATTAATGATACCTTTTGAACCAAGTATTATTTTAGCATCGTATCTTCGAAAAAGCTATGTATACTTATTGTTTCTAAAATTCACTTGAATATTGTACTCTTAAAAAAAAAACTGATCCGTTACTAACACCAAACGGAAATTAAGGGGAATGTCGTAAAAATCTTAAACATCAATAAATATTCAATATGGCGATTTGACATCTTCAGCAAAGTAGGTTGTGGTTAGATTCTTTACAAGTTTACTGCAGACACCGTTTGATTTTAAGATCTAACTAAAAGTTAGTTATTCATTTTTTTTTCGTAGTAAACCATGATTTATTTGACATATTTCTATAATGTGGAAGACTTCAATATGAACAATTCTTTCGAAGACACTAGGACCTTATAGTCAAGCACTCAGCCGCTATTGAGTTAAGCTCATCGCATTACACTTGTAAACCAATGTGAAGTTTGACATTTGTATGGTTTATGAATTACTTTTTTATTATTATAGTCACTTTAACGCTCTTGGGTCATTCGTGACTTGTTAGGGGGTGAGATTTGAATTCATGACATTGGCGTGAGAGGTATGCTCACCCCCATTTTTTATGAATTACTATGGAATCATTTGAAATTTCACTCATATTTTTCTAACTTAGTTCTAGTTTTCCGAATGCAGAAATTGAATATGTGGTTGCTATGACAATGGCCAACAAACCTGTTATTGATATAATCAGTTTGACAGAAATTTAAGAAAGATGGAAATGCGAAAAAAAAGGATAAAATAAGGTAAATTGAGAGTTGAATATGTGCCAGACATCAACCCCAGTTTGTTACACGCTAACTTGAAAGTACCCATTAATGGTTGAAAAAGACCCATTTTGAAGAAAAAAGGGCTTAACTCATTAAATGAGTAAATTTTTTACCCATTAATGAGTATCTGTTACCCATTAATGAGTAATTGTTAATCACTAATGGGTAACAGATACTCATTAATGGGTAAAATTGTTTAATCATTAATGAGTTAAGCCACTTTTATTCAAAATGGGTCTTTTTTTACTCATTAATGAGTACTTTCAAGTTAGCGTGTACGATAGTATTTTGTTTAAGCATAACAACCGATAAGTTAAGTGTGTAAGCCCAAAACTAGAAACCCAAAATGAGTATTCATCGACGACCGTGCACCACCGAAACGTCTTGCTGCATGGGCATTAGACTGATGCCAAATTTGAAATTTTCGCTCCACAGCTCTCAAACGGTTTCAAATCAGGTCCTGATTAGCCTCCCAAAATTTAAACTCATTTGGTAAGAAACTAACTTGTCACAAACTATTCGAAGTTTATATGGAAATTACTATGGATAAAACAAAATTTTTGTTCATTTTCTTCTACCTATTTACCAAATTTCTATAACTATTCTTACAGGAAATTTTCTAAGCTAAAACTTTGCGCAATATCGTTTTTCAGCCAAATGTCAAATTAAATTGTTATTAATTGTTTATTAGATTGATAATCTTATGGCATGATCAAGCAGCTGTTCTGTAGGCAACACTATATTCTGCAGTGTGACATAGTAGCCATGATATTTGTGCTCTATTCTTTGCACCAGAAACACCAATGTTGCCTGCTTAACAGTTGAATGAGCATAATCATAAGACATCAGTAACTTGAGTCATTAATAACTTTTGTTCCTTACATTTGATTGAAAAGTGGTTTTCAACAAAGTTGTAGCTGGGAAAATTTTCTATAATCACTACTATCATTTTTTAAAGCATAGTGATGTGGTGAATTGTTAGATAGATATGAACAAAAACATAAGTTTTTCCATAGTAATTCCCATTTAAACTTGGAATGGTTTGTGCCAAGTCAGTTTCTTACTAAAATGTTAGAAGGCTAAGCAGGACCCAATCTGGAACCGTTTAAGCACTGTGGAGCGAAAATTTTGCATCAGTCTAATGGGCATCTAGCTTGAGACCTAAACAAGGTACAACGATTTGCTTGCAGTTTGACAGCGGCTGTGATTTTCGCTGTACACACATACACACTAAGATTTTTTTACAGTATACTGTAATTTTTTACCGAATATGGAACAGCTGAACATTCGGTAATCTATTCGGTATTTTTTGTTTTACAGTGCGTTCTGTAAATTTGACGGCGTTCATATGAGCTGTCAAAATTTGCTGAAACGCATTGCAAATTCAACTGAATGATTGGTAAAATGAACAAAAAAGCTTTCTGTCAGATTTTTACCGAAATTCAGTAAAAACATTACTGGTTTGATTTTAAAATTCACAATTTGTTCAGCAAAAACTACCGATTGAATTGTAGCTGGATTTAATCGAGTTTTTTTCTTTTCTTTTTTCAAATTTGGTGTGAATAATAATATGGTTCATTTGAATTGTTTTTTTACATTTATTAATCCATGATGATTTGAATCAGTTTTTAAACTTTATACGTTTCAAAATGTCTTCATTGCTTCGATCAATTGATGCTTATCATAAATTTCTCCCCCGTGGTAGTAAGGTTTCCTACGCCTTGAAAAATTGCAGAGAGAAACAAGAAAAATTGCTTGTCTTCTGGCTTGCAGCTTATATTGAAAGCAGCGAAGCACTCACACAGCACTCGGAAACAATACTTGGCATCTTTCTTGATGGATGCAGACCATCCCTTCCATGCAATGCATCCCTCCGAAGTATCCTCCATTAGATTTCCTTTTAGGTATAAAACTGGGACTTCACCGTTTGGCACCGTGTTGAAATCACTCTAAAAATAAAATTATTGAAAAATTTATTCAAAGATCATAAATCAAAATTTCGACCCTTATTACGGGTGTCACTTCACGGTGAAAACGAAGTGAAGTGACAAGTTGTCATTCTTGGTGAAGTGTTTCCCGGGCAAATCAAATGGGAATCATTCTACCGTGAGTGAAAAGTTGTTACTTCACTTCGTATTCACCGTGAAGTGACACCCGTAATAAGGGCCTTCATCAACATTGTAATAGGACAAAACTGCTTTTGTAAATAAATTTATTCAATTTATTTACCAGCAGTCTATTTCTCGCTTGTAAAAGCTCACACATGCAAATTAACAATATCGTCAGCTAGAGGACTCGTTTAATTGCAGGAAAGTGATTTGATTTGCAAGAAATCAGTTGTTAAAGTAATTGTTTGCAAGAGTAGTTTTGCCCTAATGAAATGTTGGCACTGAAATATTATTTACCTGGGTCCACTCTATTATTCCCTGAAGAGGGTTTTTTCGAGCAGTAGTTGAGTCTCTCAGCCGTTTGGCACCACGGCTCGGATTTTTGTGGCGTATTATTGCCAACGTTCTCAAGAAACCTATAAGATGAATATAAATAAATGAAAGAGAACAATCACAATAATTAACACATTATTACCGTTTTGATTGTGTTGAAAAATCTCGTGATAACGGGTTAGTATCTTGTCCTGAAGATCCTCGAAGCGTTCATTGAAATTTGCTGCATTCGGAAAAAGATGTTCAAATTCCATAGTAATCTAAAATTTGAATAATAAAATCAAGAGTAATAAATCAAAGCCCATTTTTCAACGAATTGTAAAAAAAAAACCTTACAAATTTCCCATCGAATGCTGCTGCAACGGGATGATCCATTAGGTAGGGCAACAAATTTCCAGCCCGACGAATGCTGCTACGATCCGGGAAAGTTGCTGTCCACAACTCCTCGGCCCTTGATAGAGTTGCTGGTCCTGGACTCAGAAACTTCAATTCTTCTCTCTGAAATAATTGGTTTTATTATGTTATGCATACTAGGTACTGGGTTTCTTAAAATTGGGGGTTATTCCGAGAGTCGAAGTGACTTTTGTCACTACTGAAGTGATAAAAGCCACGTCATGGTGACGTAATTATTTGTGCAAATCAAATGGAGAGTCACGTCACCACGACGTAATTTTTCTCACTTCTCTAGTGACAAAAGCATCGGAATAGCCCCATTATTTCAATCGAACTACTTACCAAATCTTCTAATTCACCCTCTGGAATCGCACATACTTCGATGTGTTGTTCAATTGTTGGTACTTGAGCTCCTGCTATTCTGCGTTTCACCCGTTCCTCGGATTTGCGAGCCAAATATTCCATGTGGTAATGGATTCTTCCAGAATGCTTATTCTTTCCTCTTGCATGAGGATGGAACCATAAGGCTTGGCGTACTTCTGGCGTTGACGATCCCAGAGTTGGATATTTGTTAACTAGACAAATAGCTATCATATTCTTGTAGAACGGTGCAGGACGCCTGAGAAAAATGTTGTGTTAGATTTATACTATTACCACGTAATTAATCAAACTTACAAGCCGTAAGTCCACTTTAAATAATCGCACAGAAGCCTCTTGATACTGGACAAACACGCATCGTTTGACTTTAATCCCTCTTTCAAAGTTTCCATAGTAGCTTTGCCTTCGGGAGTCCGTATGAATACCGTATCAATGTCGATTTCCTAGGAGAAAAAGAAACTTAACTGCATTGAAGAATAACAACCCATGCAAAACATGCCTTATCGAGTAAAATCCCTTCGTACGGATTGTCCGAAGCTGAGATGTTGATGAAACCTCTGATGACATTTGCTGCTCCAGAATAGTTCTCTATTTCGTCCTCGATTTCGTCTTCCTCGTCAAGCCGTTCTTCAAAAATAGTCTCCTCCAGAAACATTTTCTGCATCCGTTGAACTGATTTGATAACGTTTGTTTTTAATCTCAAGCGAGTAAATTCTTCGACGTTGAGTTCCAAAAAAGTTGAAAGGTCGGTGATTCCTTCAGCCTCTATGGACAGCCATACCAAAACAAACGAATGATTTTTTGAGTAAATATTAATAATAAAGGTTTTCGTGCAATAGCTTTCGATCAACACTGTTCAGCAAGGCAAGTCAAAATTGAGTAAATAGTATTCAACTCAATAAGACGGTAGTTTAAACGTGGTGGGCTTAAAGAGTAAATGGGTCAAAAGATCTACGTGTAACACTAATAAAATGTTAAGAGAAAATGCTCATTTTAGTCCTAGTTCCACTAACACACATGTGATTGAAAAACATCCATTAAACATAAAAAGAACTTCTCTCACGGATTTTGCAACACGTTAGTAACACTATTTAGTTTGGGTCGTTTTTTCGCTCCGTGTATTATATAAAAATCACAAGCCCAACATTTAAAATTGACGCAACTACTTTCGTGTAAAGCTCTCTAGTACTAGAGCACTTTACTTTTGTAAGCTATTTAAGCTAAGTAGGATTTTAAGAACAAACGACCAAACTGACGTGTGTCAGAAAACAACCGGATCCAATCCTCTTAGGATCAAATATTAATACAAGATCTGATTGTGATAATTTTAGTTCAAGTGGGTAAGTGGACAAAAAAAATACAGCGGGTTCAATCGCTGCTTTAATTCAACTCACTGAAAAAAGTTGTTACGTCAGTTTGAAAAGTTGCACGTAATTTTCTTACCTTGACCTGAGACGTCTTGACATATGTGCTGACAATATTAGATATTAAATTTTATTGAATTAATACAATAAAGAAGAACAAGTATAATGTTGACATCGATGTTTACGGTTGATTTTCTGCTGTTTTGCGAAGTTTTCACTGATGTACGTCAATAAACTAGTAATCGCGATTATAACACCGTCGTGAGATATATTTTGCGGTGCTTCCAAAAGGTTTCCACAACGCGAAAGTTGTGTGCTGGAAAATCTCATTCAAGCTGGTCAGCTGATCAGTTTCAATTACCCGTACTTCGTACGCCTGCAGGATGTCGTCGTACCAGAGAGTTTCGCACAGTTTTAACAAAACATGAAGTGTTCCGTTGCTTTCGATTATCTCCTGGATTATTCCGTACGACGGGAAAAGTGCATTTCCGTGATGTTTCAAAGCAACCAGAAGATTTTTTCGGAACTCCACTCCATTTAACAAAACAACCTTTGGGCAGAATACGTACTCCACATCTTTTAACAGACGATCTCCAGCGATTATGTTATTTTTATGCTTCCTCTGACCTGGTTTATGTACAGTTTTATCGCATAGTGGATTGTCCAAAACATCTATCACCATCGTAAGGGTTTGGCGCTCTGCAAGGCTCTTACAGATGTTTTTGAAATTACGACATGAACTTGCTTGAGTTTTTAAAGGTTTGTTTTTTTGCTCAAAGGGCAAGCAATTGAATTGCTTAACATTACCACTCCGTCTTATGCATTCTTCGTAATGCAACAAATGATGCCCTTTATTAATGCGCTTCGAGAAGTTTTGGTAGAACAAGTCTTGGAAAAGCCGAAGGTGTTCATTTAACCATACAAGCATGTCTTCTGATACTACTGGCGATAAGAGTATTCGGGTAACATTGATGAGATGTCCTATCATCACTATAAATTGGCAGTCTCGATCAATTTTATCGGCGAAAAGGAACGTAAATGATCTCAATAAGAGGAAATGTTGTGCAGCTGTCTGTTTCAGTTTGTGCTTGTCTGGTGCAGATAACATTTCAACCGTTATATTTGACGAAGGACGATTTTTGCGGTCTGCAAATCCGTAACTAAACGAGCTGATGCGACTGTTGATGAAACTTTTCGTGAACTGCATTTTTTTTCGTTTATAATATGAACTTAGTACTAGTTGAATGGTTAAGGGAATAATTCCTTCCGCCAGATCGTGCATTACATCTAGAGCCCAGTTATTTGTGACGTGAAAATTCTTCAAATTGTTCAAGATGCACCCACTGGTTTTCAAACCACACTCTGATGGTTTTATAGTACCATCCTGAACAGCCGTTAAACTCGTTTGATACCAACTAGTTGTGCGTATAGGGTATGTTGAGGTAGGATCCTTATGGAACAGTGGACGAGATATTGTGCACATTCTGCAAAAGAAATTTGCCCCCGTTCCAAGGAGCCCAAAAACATCATGTGCTGCCAATGTATCCCCACAAAATATTGTGACTGTTGCTCTGATCTCGAATGACTCTTCTCCGTATTGAACAATCACACCGTCTTCTAGTTTTTTAAGGTCTGACACTAAAGGTTCAAAAATTTTATTGAACCCAACCTTTTTCACAGTACTAGAAAGGGCATATATTACCGGAAAGACAGTTTTGGGAGATGAATTCCATCGATCTGGGAAGTTTTGTATTTTGTAACATATATTTGAAACTTTGTTCTTGCCAGCTCTGGAACTGAAAGCATTACCCAATTGTACATCATCCTGATACAGAGATAGTCGTATTGCATTGGGATAAGCTTTAAAGTAGTCACTTTTTTCGTAACTTAATCCGGTTCTGTAAGAGACATATTCTTTTACGTCAGGTTTTCCTTGCTCAAGATGTTCATTAAGTAGAAGATCGCGGTTCCGAGGATTTCGGAAGATTAGCTTCAGTGTATCGATTATGGGTAAATAGGCAAATGTTTCATTTACACGAACTGTTTCGTCAATTCCATCTGTATGATGAACAGCATCTCGGTAGCCTACACATTTCATCACCGGCTCGGGATAGCTTCCTGTTAATGTTTTCAGAAACCTTTGTTGGCATGAAAAGGACTTAACATTTTCAAATAAATCGAGTGATTTAAATGTACTCAAAACATTAATAGCTGATTCGGAGGTCACATCAATGTTGTTTTCTTTTAAATATTCAACAATCTTTTCCTCCAGATACGAGGAAACTTGGCTTATCATGTTCTGGCATATGCTTACAGTTTCCGCAATTTTATTGTGTGGAATACCAACATTAGCTGTGAGCCGACAAATGCTCATAGCTGCCACTTTTTTAATGTCTTCCAATGTTATAGATCTGGACGTTGCATTTGCTTCAGGGAATTGCTCACTACTTTGTGATGTGAAAGACGAAGCTTCACCTGGAGTCCATGCTTCTTCAAGCTCTGAACTCGGTGGATGCTTTTCCTTGATGTGCCTCTTCAGGGAACGCAAATGCTGATAGCGCATTTGGCATCTTGGGTATGTACAATCAAAAAACGCGAAATTTTCTTCTAAATGGCCCTTTTCAATGTGCCAATTAACATGGCGCCCGAGCCCCTCTATATAGCCCGGAATCGGCCGACCGCAGAAAAAACAAATGATGGGATCTTCATGCATCTGAAGATCCATCTACAAAGTACAATGAAAAAAACAAATGTATTTTAATTTTACTTACGGAAAAGATCTCTTGCTCCTCCATCAAGAGCTCCAATTTGTTTTAATATGTCTTCCATTTTTTAACACTTACTTTAACGGCGCACTTTAACTACGCAGAACTGCGCAATATTCAATTTTAAAATGGCGGAAAAATGTTGAGTTTGGCAGTATAGACAATTTACAAACCGTTCGGTAATTTTTATTATTATTTTTTTTTTTATATCTTTATTAAGCTGGCACGTCTCCGAAGGGTAATTTTTACAGTCTGGTTTGTAAAAGACTTTTTTTACAGTACATTCGTCAATTTTTGACAGTATTGCGGGATTTCAGGCATTTACAGTTTCGATCAGTAATGTTTATATACAGTTTTCGGTAATTTTCTGCAAATTACAGAAATCCAGTTTTTTTTATTGCTGGAAAGTGGTAAAACATCAAATTTTACCAAACATTCGGTAAAAATGACATTTTACAGACCAAATTCAGCAAAAAAAAGTACCGAACAAAATTTAAGAATTTTGGTGTGTACACAGAAGGAGCGAGAAAGTGAGAAACGCATCGTCATTGTCAGTTCGTTGCCGGTGTTTAAACACGAAAGTCGCTCGCGCGTCTCGTAGTGCATTGCTGGTGGTCGTAAAGTCGCCTAAACGTTGTGGTAATGGCCATATTTTCACCGTAGAAAAGGAGCAGATCAGTTAACTGGATCAACCGGCGAACCAAGGTGGAGGAAGATAAACCCTCTGGCTCACGCACCTTTCGTTCCGAAAAGATGCAACCTCAAATTAAAGCACGAACAGGTAATAATAATCCGGACACGCTCGCACATGAACAACACGCATTAGTTTTCGCCTAGCAGATCGGAACGACTTCACACGGCAAAGCATCCAAAACCATCGGCCTGCAGTGAAGCTACCCGCATGGAATAATCGTGGGAAACGATCCAACGCATACGATACCCGGAAAAGCGCGCATTACAAGCAACAAGTTAGGACACGTCAGCAAGGTAGTCCGGACATTTCTAACCTCTATCTCGATAGGCAGATTCGACCACAACGGGCGAGC